CAGCAATTGCACTGCTGGGGATTTACGCCAAAGATACAGATGCAATAAAACGCCGGGACACCTGCACCCTGATGTTTCTAGCAGCAATGTCCACAATAGCCAAACTGTGGAAGGAGCCTCGGTGTCCATCGAAAGATGAATGGATAAAGAAGATGTGGTTTATGTATACAATGGAATATTCCTCAGCCATTAGAAACGACAAATACCCACGATTTGCTTCAACGTAGATGGAACTGGAAGGTATGATGCTGAGTGAAGTAAGTCAATCAGAGAAGGGCAAACATTGTATGTTCTCATTCATTTGGGGAATATAAATAATAGTGAAAGGGAATATAAAGGAAGGGGGAAGAAATGTGTGGGAAATATCAGAAAGGGAGACAGAACATAAAGACTCCTAACTCTGGGAAACGAACTAGGGGTGGTGGAAGGGGAGGAGGGCGGGGGGTGGGGATGAATGGGTGATGGGCACTGAGGGGGGCACTTGACGCGATGAGCACTGGGTGTTATTCTGTATGTTGGTAAATTGAACACCAATAAAAAATTAATTTATTAAAAAAAAAAGAAAAGAAAATTCATGCGTCATTGGCCAGGAGTTGTTCTATCATTTTTTTAAAGGAATTTATTTATATATTTATATATTTATTTATTTATTTATTTAATATTTTATTTTATTTTATTTTTTAAAGTAATCTTTATACCCAATGTGGGGCTGGAACTTACAACCCCTGAGATCAAGGGTTGCGTGCTCCCCTGAATGAGCCAGCCAGGTGCCCCATTGTTCCATCATTCTCCCCAACTGACGTATAGACGTCATACATAAATCTGTCTGGATGGATAATCTTTGAAATAATCATTTACATTTTTTTCTTCCTATATTTTTCCTTTTCTTGTACCCTACCCCCTGCCCTTCAAGGAGAAAGCACAGATACTGTTTGCTTTCCCCAGGAAGAGTATTGCAGCAAGGCTGAAGGCAGAAGTTGCCTGCAAAATATTTTCCGTTCTGTCTTTTGTGATTTTAAACTCAAGGGAAGCAGTCTATACCACCTCAAAATATGTCTCTTTGGCATAAGGATTATTTTAGGCTGATTATTATTATTTTTTTAAACAGCAGACATGAGAGAAGCCTTGAAAACCAAGCAGATGTTACCCTTTAGTAAGAAACATTTGCATGTGTAAGAGGAATCTCCATTTGTAAGGGCGCCACTCTCTTTCTACTTAGAAGACAAGGGTGACTCCAAAAACTGTGTCAATGGAGAAAGCAAGGCCTCACGTGTGCATCACAACCCTCCCCTTGATTACTGTGCTTTTCCTGGTCACTGCCCATGATTGATTTCCCCCTACCAGCATCTTTGGTCTTTAGCTGGAGGTGTTATCTGAGGGCATGGATTGGGCCATTTCAGAGAGTTACTCAGTTTTCTTGGGTCTCTCCCATGTACATGGGGTCAGGTGGGGGGGTTGACATGTTACTAAATTTTTGTTTTTCTCTGGTTGATCTGTCTTTTGATTACAAAAGTGTCTTAGTCAAGAATCTAGAAGAGTCGTGGGAAACTTATTTTCCTACCACACAAAACCCACATCCATAGAGGAGTAAAATTTGGGGGTTCTGGAGCAACGAGGACAGCAGCATCCCAAAGATGGTAATAAGTATATAGATGGGGACATGGCCAGCCTCCCAACAGACCCCATGAGGTAGGAATCATTACCTCTGGTTTACAGACCGAACTCTGAGACGGTCCGATGGTGCAGAGTAATATGATGAAACGTGCCCATGACATCATTGAGAAATATGGGACAGATCCTTGTCTCCCGGAGCTGAGCTCATCCATGGACTCTGCTCCTGAGTATTTCTCCAGACTGGGACTCTTACTTCCCCAGAAGAACCTGCAATGCAAGCTTCTCTACCTCATTTCCTTCTCTCCATTTCTTATTTAAATTAAAAAGTACAAAGAGTAGTAAGGATCCTTTTGGGTAGCTTAGGTTTCATCTCAATGTTATGCATGAGATCCAAATAACAGAATTATGTTCTTTGGTTCACATGTCTTTTGTGGTCAGTTGGGCCCACAGACTCTTTTTTTTTTCAACATTTGTTCATTGTGGTGTCTAAATGTGGTCACTGATGGGAGAGACCAAATGATGGGATGGGAGGTCCCAAATGTGGGGCAATGATTGGGGTAGAGGCTGGTGACATTGGTGGTAAAAGAATTGACCTGAGGCAGAACCAAGGAGATGGGCATTACTGAGTCCACCTCAAGGGGGCAGTGGGCAGGACAGCAGAGGAGAGGCTGTCTGCAAGGAGGCCGTGGACAGGAGCAGGGGGAAGGGCAGATGAGTGGGGAGAGAGACATCTCAAGCAGGCTACGTCCAGCACACAGCCCGTGAGGAGCTGGCTCTCACAACCCTGAGATCGTGACTGATGTGAGCCAAAAATCAAGAGCTGGGTGCTTACCCAACTGAGCTACCCAGACACCCCATGGGTGGGGGGCTGTCTGTAAGGGGGAGGATGGAAAGGTATGGACTTCTCCCTTGCTTGGTAACTGTACCTGGCTGTAAGTAGCCTTTGGTTACTTAGGGCTCATGGATATTTCGAGGCGGGGGTCACCTGACGGACGCGTGTGTGTTCAACCTGGTGGCTGCCGAGGGCCCGTTCTGCGTCCCATTGCTCAAGCCTGTTGCCTAAGAACTGCCTCTCCACTCGTGTTTGCCCTTTCTAGTTTAGTCTCCTTAGATGACTGACCGTCTACCGAATAAGAGTTGACCAGGTAGGCGGGGACGGATTTACACGGAGAAAGAATGTTCCTCACGTCCCACGCCTTGAAACCACTTTCAGTTGATTTGCACCCAACTTAGTGATATTTTATCTTGTTATTTACTTGTCTATCCTGATACCAGGCTCCATTCATTCCGCAAATTTCTCTTGAGTCCTCAGTGTGAGGGTGAGGGTCAGGCATAGTTCTGTGGGTTGGGGATACACATTCTCCCCCGCTCTGAGCTAAACAGTCTGGGTCTTCTATGCCGCAGTCTGGATCCCCGGAGGGTATGTGATAGGTTGCTAAGGGGCAGGGAAAAGCTCAGGTAGGATTGTGTTGAATTTTACAGAGAATGAACATATATCTAAATGCCTCCAAGACTCCCATTGCCCGATGTGTGTGTACGTGTGTGTAGCGGTATGAGATGGAACAGACAAAACGGAAAACAAATACAGGGAGGACCAAGTGGAGAACTCAGGGGTAGGTTTCTCCCATGGCTATTTTCTAGAAATAGAGATAGAGACGTGTAGTTTCTAGTTATAAATTAAAGGAGACGAGAACAGTCAATGCAAGATTAAGATTCATCATAAATGATAAAAGTGAGGCTTTAAAAACTCAGCTCTCGATTTAAAAGGGTTAAGTTAGGGCGCCTGGGCGGCTCAGTCAGTTAAGTGGCCGCCTTCAGCTCAGGTCATGATCCCAGGGTCCTGGGATGGGGCCCACATCTCGTGCTCAGTGGGGAGCCTGCTCCTCCTCCCCTCTCCCTCTGCCCCTCCCCCTGCTGGTGCAGGCGCATGCTCTCTCTCTCTCTCTCTCTCTCTCTGAAATAAAGAAATAAAATCTTAAAAAAATAAAAGGGTTAAATTAAACACAAGGAAATCATGCACAGTTGAAGTAGAAAAATAAATTGTTTTGTGGTCTTAGAAAAAACCATTTTCTTCTTCATTGTCCATGGATAGTTTGTCAATTAGAAAGAAAAAGTCAAGGACGCTTGGGTGGTTCAGTGGTTGAGGGTCTGCCTTTGGCCCAGGGCGTGACCCCAGGGTCCCTGGATCGAGTCTCACATTGGGCTCCCCGCAGGGAGCCTGCTTCTCCTTCTGCCTGGATCTCTGATGAATAAATAAATATAATCTTTTTTTTTTTTTTTAAAGGAAAAAGTCCTATTTCTTTCTACCCGAAGAGGGCAAGATCACAGTTTCTTCAACCCTATAGCATGGGAGCTGCTGTTAGTGTGGTGTGCATTCATGTCCATGAAATCTTAACTAGTAAGTCCAGGTTTGTCAGGTTCCGATAACCCGTATTCAACACTTAGCTCACTACTCATTTAATAAAAGTTTACCGTAGCAGCAGGTTTAAAGGTGTCCTCGGGCTAAAGGTCACCTGCGGGCCTGGGACCTGGGCCTCCTCGGAGGTGCCCCCTCGCTGGGGCCCAGCCTCACTGACCTGGGAGTGGAAGCTGCTGTAGGTAGGTGGCAGCACGCGTACACTTTACACTAGCCAGGAATTTAAGCCCCATGTCTGCGGTGTGGGGACAGGCGACTGAATCTTTATGGCCTCCACCCTGTCATCTGCAGAACGGGATAGTGGCGGCTGCAGCTCCTGTGCATGGGGTCCACCCGGTGGGCCGCTGTGGCATCAGCGAGGGCTGGTCGTGCTCCGGAGCCGTCACCGGGATGGGGCGGCCCCAGCTCTTTAGGGGAAGCTGCCATGAGCCTCCATCTCGCTCCCTAAAATGTCACTGACACATCATTCATAGATTTCAAGCGATTCTCTTCTCTGACACGACGCGAAGTTGAAAATTAATGCGATTAGCTGTGCGTCTCCCAGGTCCTGCCTGAAGCCCCAGGTTAGTATCCCCGGGTGCTTGCGGGGGGGCGGGGGGAGGGGCCAGCTTGGGCAGAGGGGAATGTTCTAAAATTGGGTGAAGCAGCCCCGGGCTCCTGGGCGCGCTCCGGGAGGCCGAGCCCCTTCCGCGCAGCGGGACGCGGTCCCTGAGGAGGGAGGGTCGTCGGGTCCCAGCCCAGGTGCGCGCCCATCCCCCCCACCCCCCGGCGGAGGGTCCCTAACCCCGCGGCCCCGCGCTGCGCCCCCTGCGCCAGGCCGTGCGCCTCCCTGTGGGTCGGGGGTCCCGGGCCGCCTGCGCCCCGACTGCGGGGGCCGGGGCGGGGTCGGGGTCCTGCGGGGGGCGGGGCCGGGGTTGGTGCGGGGTTGGGGGCGGGGTCAGGGCCGGGGTCGGGGTCGCGGTCGCCCCACGCAGCCTGGCCGCCCGCCGGGTCTCCGCAGCGGAAGGGGTCGGGTCGGGGTGGAGCCGGATTAGGGTTGGGGTCCGGGCGGGGGTCGGGGCGGGGGTCCGTCGGGGTCCCTCCGGGTCCGGGTCCGGGTCCGGGTCCGGGTCGGGGTCTCCGCCGCGCAGGGGGCCGGGGCGGGAGGCGGACGCCGTCCTGGAGGCGGGACCCCGGGGCAGGCGGCTACCCCCCTCCCCCCTTCCCCCCCCTTCGGCCCGGAGGCTGCGGGGCGCCCGGGGATCCCGCGCAGGGAGGGCCCCGGCGGGGGCGGGCGCGGGGGCGGGGAGCCGGGGTCAGGCCGCCTCTTAAAGGGCCCGCCCCCCGCCTCCCCTCCCCCCTCTCCTCCCTCCCCCCTCCCCTCCCCTCTCCCCCCTCCGCCCGGGCCGCAGGTGAGCGCAGGGGCAGCGGTAGCGGTCTCGGCCGCGGGCGGGGGGTCCTCGGGCCCACGAGCCGCCCAGCCCCGCGCCTCCCCCGCGGCCGGCGGCGTCCCGGGGCGTCCTGCGGCGGCTGCGCTCGGGGCCGGGAGGACCGCACCGCCCTGCCCGCCCCGGGGGCTGCGAGGACCCGGCCCGGGGAGAGCAGGTCAGTGGGGGGGGGCGGGGCCCGGGGGAGCGCGGGGCGCAGGTCGGGGGGGCCGTGCTCGGCTGGGGGGGCTGCGGGGGCCCGGGGCGCTGCGGGCGTGCGGGGGGCAGACAGCGCGGGGGGGGCCTGCGGGACCCGGCGGGGGGCGGGGTTTGCGGGGAGCCCTGGGGGCGCCGGGGAAGTGCGGGGGGCAGGTCAGGGGGAGGGCGTGCTGTGCGCGACCCGAGGGGCGTTTGCGGGGGTCCGGGCGCCGCGGTGTGCAGACTGTAGGTCCGGGGCCCGTGCACGACCCGGCGGGGGGGGGGGGCTGTGGGTGCAGACAGCGCGGGGCGGTGCACGGCGCGGGCGGTGCAGGGTCGCGGGGGCCCCACCCCGTGTCCGGGGCCCGAGCTCCGGGCGCGGCGGCTGCAGGAGGGGGCGTGAGCGCAGCGGGTCCCCGCGGCCCGCGGTCGGGGTCCGGGGTTGGGGTCGGGGTCGGGGCGTGGGGGGCGCGGTCCCAGCTGCAGGAGGCTTCGGGGCCTAAAACTTTGTTGGGGAAGGAAGCAGGAAGCGGGGGGGTGGCGGGCGTCCGCTGGCTCCATCCTTAAATGTTTTCCCCAAAGAGTCCTTTAATGAGCCAGAACTGGGTAATTTCGATTTGCTCCTTTTCTGCGTCCCGTGAACACCTTCCCTTTCCTTGTGACTCCTCTGCGGTCAGCTGCCCGCCCCGCCCGGCCCGGGGTCCCTGCGCTACCTGGTCACCGACCTGAAGGTTCAGGGCGACCCACTATGTGCTGGGCGGCGCTCACCACGCCCCACTATGTGCTGGGCCTGAGCTGCGCGCCACGTCGAGCCGCAGGTGCCCACGTCCAGGGCCGCTGGAGCAGGTGCCTGCAGGGGTGGGGGGAGGTCGCGGCCTTCTGGGCCCTGGGGCTGGCACGCGCCTTGGCGCCTTCCTTCATGGCTGGGACTAGGAAACTTTTCTTTTTTTTTTCTTTTTTAATTTTTATTTATTTACGATAGTCACACACACACACGCACACACAGAGAGAGAGAGAGCCAGAGACATAGGCAGAGGGAAAAGCAGGCTCCATGCACTGGGAGCCCGACGTGGGATTCGATCGTGGGATTCGATCCCGGGTCTCCAGGATTGCGCCCTGGGCCAAAGGCAGGCACTCAACCGCTGCGCCACCCAGGGATCCCCGAAACTTTTCTTGAAAACGGCCCTTTCCTTGGGATGCTCAGGGGGCTCAGCGGTTGAGCGCCTGCCTTTGGCTCAGGACATGATCCTGGAGTCCTGGGATCGAGTCCCGCGTCGGGCTCCCTGTATGGAGCCTGCTTCTCCCTCTGCCTGTGTCTCTGCCTGTGTCTCTGCCTCTATCTCTGTGTCTCTCACGAATAAATAAATAAAATCTTTAAAAGAAAACGGCCCTTTCCACTTGTTTGGCCAACAAAGACAGTTTTACATTTTGTGTCTCTGCTGGAGCTTCTGGACAGAGCCGTGAGTTAACAGGGAAGGTTCCGAAGAGTCTGCTCTGAGAAGCAGCCGTTGCGCCAAGCCGTGTTCTGCATGTATATGGCTATTTAGTCCTTTGTAATATATATTTTTTAAAGATTTATTTATTTATGATAGATGTAGAGAGAGAGAGAGAGGCAGAGACACAGGCAGAGGGAGAGGCAGGCTCCATGCGGGTAGCCTGATGTGGGACTCGATCCCGGGACTCCAGGATCTCACCCTGGGCCAAAGGCAGGCGCTAAACCGCTGAGCCCCCGGGGATCCCTGTCCTTTGTAATATTTATGTAGACTTTACTGTCTTTCATATATGTCTTCATACTCTGCACAGTCCTCTTGCAACATATTCTTTGTGTTCAGGAGAGGATCATAAGGTCAAACTTTACTCATTACACGGACGAATGAGTAGATCTGAGTATGTCCTATCCCGTGCACATTTACTGAATCACAGTATTTGGTTTCCTACCACCCCTTGAATGCTGGGTGGTGGCCTTTGCAAAGCAGTGCCTTTTAAAACTCGGGTAAATCCCTCATGATGTTTGAAAGCTTAGTTCTCTTAAGAGAGTCTCTTTGCTATCGGCATTGAACACACTGTTAGGAATTAGGGCCAAGACCGCCAATGCCGGAAAGGGTTTGCTGTAATGGAGTTGTAGCTACCTTCCTCCCTTGTTTTAAAAGACCCTTTTAATTTCTTAGCGTTCTTCTCTTGCCCTTGGAAGAGTTTGCAGTTATTGGCCATGGTTCTAGTTCATGTAGGTTTCTATTTATTATGGAGAAGACTTTTCCCACAGGGTTTTAGGGCTGCCTCTTGAACCCTCTTGGGGGCTCGGTTTGCAGGACCACAGTCCTGCAGAGGAATCCAGCCGGTGTCACCTGCTTATTAAGGGATTTTGTGCCAATTTGTTGGCACATAATTTGAGAATCTAAGCCTCCCCTTGCCCCCCGCCCCCACCATGGTATACACGTATATAGACAACTATTTCCCCCTAAGTGCTGACCGTGTTCTAAGAATAGCTTTCTTGCCTGGCGCTGAGAGCGAGGACCCGTCTGCAGAGGTGTTTACAGTTTGGGACTCTGCTGCAGTCTTGGTTGACTGAACAGCGAGGCAGGGAAGCCTTGCTGCTCCTGGGACGCTCTCTGTTCATCTGGGCGGCGGGAGGGGCGACCCCAGCGGGACAGGGGGGACCAGCGGTGAGAAGGACTTGCTCCACGACGGTAGTTTCTGTCCTGATGTCCAGTGCGGACCCGTAAACCCGGTCTGGATCCCTTTGCTCTCACCCAGCCATCGGCCGCCCAGCCGCCCAGCCGCGGTCTAGGCTGGACGGGATTGCTCTGCGTGTCCTGTGGAAGCCCAAACGCTCTCAGGGCTGCGGCGGGGACACGTGCTATTGTGACACTTACGAGTCACATATTTCTGGTGGTTCCTGCCCTGTTTCTCTTCATGTTTAATCATCTAGGCTTAGGGGGTTTCCACGATGTGTCTGTAGGGTTAGGAGAAAAGGACGAAAACTCAAGGAGCAACAGCTACAAAGAGATTATTCCCTATTTCCCTATTAACCTGGAAAGTTTTTAGAAATGTTAAACACGCTTGATGTAGACACGTTACTATTAACTGTAAACAGTAGCAAGATTGCCATGTAGCCCCAACTTGCCCTTTTGTCCCTTCTCCCTCTTCCTCCCTTCCTCCCTCTAGTCCTCCTGTCCTGTCTGTCCATCAGTTTGTCCGTCCTTCCTTCCTCCCTTCCTGCCTCCCTCCTTCTCTCTCTTCCTGTCTCGGAAAACACTCTGGAAGCCATTATTTTCTGGTGTCAAAGTGACTTTCTGCCTGCATGGGATTAGTCAGTCTAGAATTACATCTTGACCTATATTATGGGCGCGCATGGAACGTGAATCTTTTAAGATAGGAACGTAAAGTTTCTGCCTACTATTTGAGAATTTAGGCCACAAGACCCGCCACTTTATTAGAGCAGTTTGCGTGTTACTCGTTTCACCTTTAGGCAACGAAAGCAAACCACCCCGAGCACCTGTACTATTAATCGCTACAGAAATATTGCATTCGCATTCCCAGTTACTCTTGTTTTCTTCCTCTATCATAGGAGGAGTTGAAAGTAGTGTTTGTGTTGTCTCCTATCCATGTGATTTAAGTACGGATTGTTTTTCTTTGAATTTCCACTAAAAATGGCAACTTTGGCCTTTTAAACTGTTTCTGCGAGGACTTTTCTTTCCACCAGCCTTGTTTTCCAGATAGGTCTTGGAAATTACGAAGAACACAGCTATGATTTCTATGTTGATTGGCAGCTGACAGCTTTCCCGAACAAAAATAAGGCTACGCCGTGCCAAATGGTTGACTTTTCTAGAATAAAAACTCTAAAGGGTATGCAAAAAGTCCTCTGGTTAATATATTGGCATTCCCAGAACCCACTAAAACTCCGGCAGCCTGCCAGACACCACTTAATGAGGATGCAGAATGTCTGGCTCAAATCCCCATGAGCAGAAGGGGGTGGGGAGCTGATGTCCACACCCTTTATTAATTTTTAACGACTGTACTTTTGTTTTGCGGGTTTTGCTCTGTACCCTCTCACGATTGACCCCCACCACACCGCCCCTTCCCCATCCACTTATTTAACTCATTTACTTGGCACTGGAAAAATGTTGAGAACCTTTCAAGGTTAAGAATCCTGCCAAGGGATCATTTCTGTTTGCATAGGTTCCTCTGTTGCTGCTTTTCTTTCTTTCTTTTTCTCTGCCCCCCCTACCCTCCCCCCGCAACCCTTTTATAGAAGAGGAAGAGGGAAAAGGAACAGAAAAAGAGATGACAACTCTTTTTTTTTTTATGATGCTTTATTGTCTGCTGGAAGAGAACCGTTTACGAAACTTTAAGTTTGTCAGACAGTTTATATGACAGTGCAAGTCGGTGCTTGCCAAGCTCCAGACAGATTGCTAATGTTACATGACAGGGATAAATAAATTACCGCTGTCTGCAACACGCTCGCTCCGCAAGTGCACTCTGCAGCCGGGCGTCCAGGCGCTGCGCCCCAGGAGCTGCCGTCCCTGCAGCTGGGAGGAGGCCTCCGCCTATTGCCTTCGGTTCTGTGACTTGGTTCGGAAATGAGAAGGGTGTGTCTCTCGCTTTTATTTTTGGCAGCGCTGCAGGGCAGCAGAATGCACGGAGCAGCTGCGGCCTTCCTCTGCTGGGCCTCCTCCCCCGTGCCCCCCACAGTCCTTGCTGTGCGTGGGGCGGGGGGGTGGGGGGCAGGCACCTAGTCTTCCGCCCCCGACCTGCTGCAGACAAAGCCGAACTTGGCTCTCAGCTGCCCCAGCCTGAGTTTTCTCAAAGCCAAGTTCCAAGCTGTTTACGGTTGCGTTCTTCGTGCGCAGGTGCAGGCACGGAGAACAAATTGTCTGAGATAAGTGTGTGCGTGCTGCGCCGGGAGGGGGCTGGGTGGCACTCCTTGGGCACAATGTGCTTTCATCTCCGGCAGTCTGGGTCGTCAGCTGGCACAGTGACAGGTGTAATGAACTTAATGGTCTCACTCTGGTTGTTAGCGGACACGCTGCTCGTATTACAAAGCCGCCTCCTAAACTGGGCCCCTGCCAAATGACTTGGTCTTCTCTTTGCAGACGGGACTCGGGGCTGGACTCCTCCAGGGACGTTAGGGTCAGGAATCGGGTGGGTGTGAGCGACATCTGCGTGTCCTCATCCTGAATGGACCCAGGATGTCTCTGCAGAGTAGAGCCGTTGCATGCACTTTGCAAAAAGGGTCCCTCCTGTCTGCCCCGGGGAGAGGTCCCGGCCAGGACCCGGGGTGTCGGTGTGCGGCCTCCTTGCCCCTGGGTCTGCAGGGTGGCAGGCTCCTGGCTGTGGCTGGCCAGTTCCGTGCACAGCCACCATTCTCAGAAATGGGCCGGGCCTCGGACTGGTGGGGACTGAGCCGGGCATTGCTCCCACTGTCTCTGCCCGGGCCAGGGAGGGCACTTCCATGGTACAGTCTCCCGGCTTCCCGAAGGCCAGAGCAGAGAGCCTCGGCAGGAGGCCAGGCTGCTTCTGGAAGGGCTCCTGGGCCTCCACGAGGGCACTCGGTCAGAGACGAGGGGCCGCACTTCCAAACGCTTGCAGAGCTCTGACTGCGTGCCAGGTGTTCTCAGTGTGGCCCATATAGGAACTAATTCCGTCCTCAGCGTAGCGCTGTGACATCTGCCACCAGCCCCGGCCTGCAGGAAGGCCCCGCAGCCTGCCGATCACCCGGGGCCTTACCTCTGTGAGAAAAAGCTGGCGTCGGACGCAGCCCTGGCCTTCTCGCGCTTGGGGTCTGGGCTTGGACCCCGGGCTGCCCCAGGCAGGGCCTAGCTGGCCTTGGTTCAGCAGGGACTGCTCACCAGCAAGGTGGGTGGCACCGCTTCTGTCCCGGGGCAGGTCCCAGTGGCTGCTCCGACGGCAGGCGCCTCTCGTCCCTCCCTGCCTTGACCTGTGGCTCTGGCCGTGCCTCCCTCACCGCCTGTCCCCACTCCTGTTTCTAGCCTCTGCTCTCCGGGCCTGTTGTGTCGGCGACAAGAGCCTTCATTTTGAGAACTGGGCCACTGGGGACTGTGTTTTGTCCACGTTGAACCTTGAGTCCTGTGGAAGACAGAGGAAGCGGGGAAGCGGCAGCCGTGCTGTTGGCTGAGGTCTGCTCCGTTCCGCAGAAACCTCTTCCGTCGGTCCGGTTTGGGCGCCGGCCGTTGGAGCCGTAGGGCCTGCTGGGGCGCATTGAGGGGCTGGAAGACAAGGCCCCTCCGTCTGCGGTTGGGGGTGGGGAGGCTGCACGGGGCCTGCACCGTGGGTTGTTCACCAGAAGGATCCAGCTCATCACAGGGCACGTTGTCCTACCAGGTTCATTTCCCTTTGCTTCTCGCATTTGGGGGGGTAAATGGAAAACTAGTATCTTTAAGACTTTCCGTTTTGATCCACAAGGGCCTAGATTAAGCAACCACACATGCCAACGTGTACCTCTTGTGAAGTATTGGCCATTTTGGACGAACCTAGGTGTGTAGAATCACAGCGCCTCAGGGAGCCCTCGGGAGATGCAGCTCCCTGGGTCCTGGCAGGATGGCGCTTCGGCTCTTTGCAGACCGGGCAGCTGGGTGGGAACAGGAGCCCATCGGCGGCCCTGAGCGCAGCCAGGGGACCAGGGTGGCCGGGGCACCTCCATGCGGGGGCCTCTGATCCCTGTGGCCTCCCGGATGGGGGCGGGCGCCGTCCTCCTCGGGGTGGTGCAGGCTCTGGAAGGGCCTGTGTTCGCGGCACCGGCAGCTGTGGTGCACCTGCGCCATCGCCCCCGTGGGGCCGGCCCTGCCACCGTGAGCTCGGACGTGGACGTGGGGCGGGGCCGCGGCCGCTGGTCCAGCATGCCCACTCTGCAGAGCCTGGCTTTATTTCACAGTGTCCTTTAGGCCCGGCTGCAGTGACTGTCACACACCTAGTCTCTGGAGTTCCCCCTTTTCCTGGTTACCTTCTTACTGAAGACAATTAGGGAAATGAAACAAAGAAGGAAAAAGAAACAAAGAAGGAAATAAAAATGACTAAAATCGTCTTTGATTCCAATACCTTTAGAAGATCTCCATTAATAGTTTAGTTTCTTTCTAGGTTCTTTTACTGCTATAAAATATGCACAGAACTTGGTTTTATTTTTATTTTTATTTTTATTTTATTTTTTTATTTTTATTTTTATTTTATTTTTAATTATTTTTTATTTTTTAATTATTTTTATTTTTATTATTTTTATTTTAAATTTATTTTTATTTTAAATTTATTTTTTATTATTTTTAATTTTAATTTTAATTTTATTTTTAAATTCTTTTTAATTTTAATTTTATTTTTATTTTTATTTTATTTTTTATTATTTATTATTTATTTATTTATTTTTATGTATTTATGTATTTATTTATTTTATGCGCAGAACTTATATGTATGTTTACAGACTTCGCATTGTATCCTGAAGATTATTTCATGTAATTTCGATATTCTCTGAAAGCTCCACTGCCGATGACTATGACACTCTGCTCTATGGTTATATTATTATCCTTAAAAAATCTGTTTGGGACATTGAGGCCATTACCAGTTTTCTGTAGTATAAATGGTGCTGCGTGGAACATTTTGATTACATCCTTTGGACAGAGTCCTAGACGGGAAGACCACGGCCCTAAGACCTTCTAGAGGGTCGGGCAAACGGATCCCCAGCTTGCTTTTCAGAAAGGATGGGGCGTCGGGTACTGCAGAGATGGGGGTGGCTGCACCCTTGCCGATGCTAAGTATTGTCATGAGAAAAATCTTTGCAAATTAAATTTTCCTTTCCATCCTTTTAAGAATCTAGGTCCATATCACCTGGCGCATAGGTGAAGAGGCTTTGCTGTTTGCTTGAGTTTCGTTACGGGCAAACAGTGATGCTGGTGGACGATCTCGTCAGGGAGGAATAGGACCTTTCTGTGACTTTGGATTTCAGATAAATGGTACGGAGGTAGGTGAAGGACACTAAACAATCTAACATATTTGAAAATAAAAGTAGAAGCTGTTCTGGCCCGGGACTGTACTTGCCGTCCCCCAATGTCCTCGCCTGGCCCTGGAGGTGACCTGGACCCACGTGGAGCGAGGGCCGGGAGGGAGAGGGCTTAGTCGCCAGCGGCGGGGAGACCGTGGGGCACCTTGTTCGGTCACTTCCCCCGTTTTGAAGGACAGCTTCCTGCGATCACACTCTTCCCTGGCTTACGCCCCCGGGAATGCCTACGTAAAATTCATTCCCTTACGTTCAACCTGATGGCTGGCGCACAAGGCTTGATGTCGGTTCCCCTGCGGGGGTTCTCTCTCCTTCCTTCCACGGTCTGGGGGCTCCTGCTTCCAGCTGAGGCCTGGCCCCTTTGGAGGCACGTGCAGCTCTCAGTGGCATCCGGCCTCCTCAACTGAGGGCTCCTGAAGCTTGAGAGAGAAGGATCATCGCCTCAGTAGAGTTCCATGAAGTCAAGGCAGATCAGTCTCCTTTGAAAGGCAGCCTTTCCAGCCGAAAGGTGGGGACCCGCTGGCCTGTGCAGCCCATTCACGATGTGGCTGGGGGAGCGGGATGTGACTCCTGTGTCTTTAGTCTTTGGGGCGAGTCCCATTGATTGGCTTGTGTTCATCTGGCTTGTGTGCATCGGTTTGCTCAGCTGGTGTGGGTGCGAACTGTGCTCTGGGCTGCGCGTTGGGCGTGAGCCCTGTCGGGACTTACAAGCAGTGCGCAGGGTCCCCGGGGCCCAGGTGGGCACCGTCCTCGCCTCTGTGCCCAGGCGACTGAGCAGGAGTGCGCTGGCGGGTGGGCCGGGGTTGTGAGGCAGCGTCCTCAGGGAGCCCCTTGCTGACCCCGGCTCGCGGTTTCCCAGGGGCTGCGTGTCAGTGATGTCACCGAGGAGGTCGCGGGGACATTGACTCCGAAAGCTACACCCTGTGTAGAGTTGGCCATTGGCTGCCGAGGGCGGGCGCTCACCAACTTGTGTATTTTGACCCCCCGCGTCTGGCTTGCTCCTCCAGCTGGATGGTGAGAGGCCAGAATGTGTTTTAGGAGGCACAGAGGAACGCTTCGTGCTGCAGGTGGAGGTGATGTGCGCAGTGGGATGGCTTGAAAGATCCTCTCCCTGCTACTCTGGGCACTAAGCACTTTACGGAATTTAGCCTCCGTCCTGTTGGCCGTTAAACGTGAGACTCAAAATCCTTGCTTCTAAACTAGAGGTAGGTGCTGGGATTCAATTTTTTTTTTCATCTGAAGAATAATGTAAAAATAATGAATATTGTACACGCGCCATCATTGCTACATGACCATGGAGCACATTTAATCCAGAAAAATCAGATTTGTTTTCTGATAAATACAGTTGGACGTTAAACGGACCCGGAGCTATTTAACGGACCCCTTGGTGCATCGCTGGGCGGTGTGGGTGCAGATGTCAGGCACCACGTGTGCTCAGGGGGCTGCCTTCACTGGGGCAGGTGTGGCCTGGCCAGCCCGGGAGGCGATGTCGGCCGGGGGTCTGCCTCTCGGGGGGCCATCCTCCGCCTCCCCAGCGTATCTCCTGTGCTCGGGTCTGGCCGAGGCCTTGGGCAGCCGTGCGACCTTGGGCAGGCCTGTCGGTCCTCGTCCCCGACTGCCTGCCCTGCTTGCCCCCATCTAGGGTCTGAAGCGGCGGGAATGGGGTGATGCATGTGCGGAGAGGCGGGGGAGCTCAGTGAGCTCTGGGCCCAGAACCCGCAGCACCGGGCTCTGGAGGCGCCGGCCGGCCTGGTGCGCCCAGCTCCTGCCCTCAGGGCCCCCGGGCGCCTGGACGTCCAAGGCCGGCAGGCCCCGTGCTCGGGAGCAGCCGGGAGCAGAGCGGGCAGCTTCGGCCTGCACCTGCATGACGCCCGGGCCGGCGAGAGAACACAGCTCATGGTGCCCGGGGGGTTGGGGGGCCGGGGGCCAGGGGGCCTGGGGGGGCTCAGGGGCCCGCGGGGCCGTGGTCACTACTTAGCTGCTGTCGCTGGTGCGAGGCCTTCCCTGAGCTGCGGGCTGGGATCGGTGCTCAGGTTTAGGCGGTGACATGTTCTAAGAGGACTGCTTTGCTGGCCGCAGGAGTCATGGTCAGGAGGCTGAGGCCGTTTATTCACGCACCAAGTGGGGGGCCCAGTTTTAGGGGTGCAGGCCTCTAGGGGATGTGCAGTTAGCGAGCCGGGGCCGGGGGCCACAGGGGTCGGTGAAGACGGCTCTTCCCCTGCCCCCAGAGACGGCATGACGGCCAGAGACGTGAGCTCATGTCACCTGTGGGTGGTAGCAGCGAGGCAGCCTGCGGGTGGAGAGCCAGGGGTGGGGGCCGGGGGAGCCTGGAGCCAGGGGGCCGGGGGGTTGGGGGCCGGGGGATGCAGCGCCAGCCTCATTCTCTCCTGGGTTCAAGGAGGCTTTGCTGGCGAGCCTGGGAGGCCCAGGAAGGGTTCTAGTTCTAGTAGGTTCTGCAGATCTGCAGTGTCCACCTGTTGGTGGCGGTGGAGCTGTGTCCCGCACACTGTCTTGCACGCTGTGGGCCGTGCCGTGGGTCCCGCTGTGGGGTCAGCCCTGGGCCCTGCCTCGGAGTCCGCGGGCCACTGCTGAGCACGGGTGCTCCTCCCGTGCTGCGGAAGCCGCCTGGCCGCGACCCTTGGTCTGTGTCCCCGGGCGCTGCAGGCAGCCACACGGTGCATCTGTCCCGCTCCCTGAGGCTCCCGACGCAGGGCACCCACGCAGGCCCAGGGCCCCAGCACCTCTTGCTTGGGACGCCCCGTCCCGGGCCTGTTGGCCTGTGTGCTGCTGCGTCGTTGACAGACCTGGGGGAGGCTGGGCCCCGGGCTCCCGGCCTCCTGGCCTCCATGCGAGGCCCGCCCAGGGAGGCCGCCGGGTCTCCCTTGCCGGTGAGCGCAGCGCGGCCCAAGCTTGGAGCCGCCTGCCCGTGTGTGGAGCTGGCAGGCAGGACCCCTGTGCCCGTCTTGACGTCGGGTGTGCAGCTGACCCTTGAACAGCAAGGGCTGGACCTCGTGGGTCCCCTTATGCACGTCTGTCCATCTGTGTGTTTTTCTAAATTCCGTAAAGTACTATGAATTCAATATATCTTCTCCTCCTTGTGATTTTCTTTTTTAAAAAATTATTTAAGCGATCCCTGGACCCAGTGTGGGGCTCAGACTCATGACCCCAAGATCAAGAGCCGCCCGCCCTCCCCGCTGAGCCCTCCACCTGCCCCTGCGATTCTGCTCGTGACACTTTCTTTCCTCTTACCTTCATGTAGTACGTGTAATGTCTAGAAGTGTTGCTCAGCAGTTGACATTGTCGGTGAGGCTTCTGGCCAACAGGAGGCTGTTAACAGTTGCATTTTGGGGAGTCCACGCGTCTGCATCGCCCGCAGCCGTAGAGGATCTCAGCCCCCAGCTCGGAAGTACAGACGCCGCCTAACGGCCTGCCCGGCGTCTCCAGCGCTCGCGGGGCGCGTCTGAGCCCACGTCTGAGGATGATGCCCGGGTCCGCACCACGCCCCGCCGTCCCTCTGGTTTCCACCCCCTGCAGCTGCGCCACCTCGGTGGCGGCCTTCCCGTCTGCCCAGGGACCCGGGTCCTCTGTGACTCGGTTTCTCAGAGCTCGCCTCCATCCATCAGCAGCTCCCGTGTCTTCCGTCTCCTAAATCTGCCCCAAACCTGCTCCCTTGGCACCAGCGTGGCTGATGGCAGGTCCCCTTCTGCCTCAGGCCAGTCTCCGGACTGGCCAAGCCCTGGACCCCAGGAGTTGAGCAGCTTCTCTGCTGGGTCTTCTGGC